TGAATCGCCCGAGCAAGAATTAATTCACAGGCAGGAAATCAAATGCGTCATTTATTAAAGTACACCGTACGGATAACCACGACATCACTTGTTGTGAGTTTGAGCGCCAGTGTTGTTCTTGAGTTCAGTGGCAAAGGTCAGTTGGAAAAGCCTGTTCCAGTTAATCATCACTCCTGCTTCCCTCCTTCATTGTGCACTACGAAGTCGCACGTCTTCTTTCTCAACTAGCAGTCTCTGATAATTCGCTAGATTACATTATGCTCAGTGTATTTTCATATCATAGCTTCAAAGGAGATCAACAACCCTATGTCGGGTAAGGTGACAAGAAACGGTGCAGAAAACAGAAATTCAGGATCCATGCATAACAGTAGAAATCCTAGTCCTAACAATAAGTAGAAAGCGTATTCCGCAGAGCATCTTGATAGGCATACCCAGCCATAAGCTAAGTTGCCAGCCAAGAGAATCGTTTGCCGCGCTTTCTTTAGTAAATCTGGGGAAAGTAAACTGAGTAACCGAAGATGTAAACATAGTCGAAACGTTTTATCAAAACGAGCAAGTGACAGCAATGGACCAGCGTAACCTGAAGTTTGTTGCGATGCGACTTATTGGAGCTCATTGCTGTTCACATGTAGGGAGATATTAAGCAGACTACCGAAGTCAATGGTGCTTGAATGTGGTGCTGTCTAAAGGCAGTCGATGCTCAGTGCGGAGCTTTACAGCAACCAGTGGCAAAACGTTCGGCATTAGTTCTGATCATACCATCCTACAGCTTTCGAGGAGTACAAATCGACTGGCGCATTCGTAGTCCAAGAAACTGGAACGACTACGCAGGGGTCTGTTAAATTCGTCGTAAGAAACATCTTCTGTAGCACCACGACTCCTGAAGCAATAACAGCGTCCATTACTGCTATGTGCAGGCAGACTTCGAGGTTCAGTTAAGTTAAGCGTCGAGATGTTCCAAGCGTTTTATTTGTCGTCTCCGCCAACGCTCCTGCTAACCGCAGCCCGGAAGCAACCAAAGATTGCCTTTACCAACTATTATATGACCTTCCGCGTTTCGTTAAAAAGTATGATATTGTCATTCTTGCATGAGACTTAAATGCACGAGTGGGCCGCATGACACCAAGCGAGCACCATCTTGCGGGTAGTTTTGGCTTAGGTAGCAGATGATCAGATAATGGATACAGACTACTGACTCATTGTTTTGATCATCGCCTGTTTCTTTCGAGCACAAATTTTCGACATTCAAGGAGACAGATTGGTACCTGGCGCCCGCCTTCTTAAAAGCAAGAGTGGTCCCAGCTTGACCACATCGCGATAACCTACAGATGGCGCGCAAGCGTATCAATCTGCCATTCGTATTGGTCAACTTGTGTGGACTCCAATCAAGCATTTGTGCGCGCTAAGCTATGCATGCATCTCGGAGGACCGCCTAGGTGCACGCACTACCGACCGAGCGTGGAAAACCTACAAGACCCTATGACGTTAGCCAAATACCAGGCCTCCAAGTCAACACTGCTTAATCCAGATTCTGTTGATGATCTGAATTCACAGAGGATGCGAATCAAAGATGCCTTAGTTTTTGCCAGCATGGATAGTTGCAGAGTCACCCATCACCAGCCGAAAAGTTGGATCACTGATGTCTCGTTGTCGCTGATGAACAAACGCCGCTTGGGCCCGGCCGATTCTAGCAGTAGTGAAGAACGACGATCCCTAGATCGGGAATTGCGTAGGAGTCTACAAAAAGACCGTGAAACCTGGTGGTATGAAAGTGCCAGAGAGACAGAACACGCTAGTTTTTCTGGTAATACCAGAACACTTTTCCAATTTATCCGAACAAAAGGAGGTTTCCGATCTGGACTAAGCAAAACGATCTGACAACAGAATGGCCCACTATTTACGAATCTTCAACGACGGTTGGAACGATGGTCGGAACACTTCGGCTCACAGTTTTGCCGGCCATCAGCCCAAACCGCTTCCTCTGGAGCGCTCACTGGTGGTCTGTCCTCACAGATCCTACTTCTCACCAGGAGATCTGGCAGGAACTCCGCTTCTTGCAGCGCTATAAAGCATCGGGCCTGATGGCTTACCTCCCGCCCAATTTAAAGTGGACATCTATTCGCTGGTTCGAGAACACTGCTTTGTTCCCAGAAGTCTGGCTGAAAGAGGAGGTTCCATCATCGTAGGGTTAGTCGATAGTCGCCCAATCTTCAAATAGGGCCTGCGCACAGTGTGCTCCAACTACAGGGGTTTCAGCTAGGTTCCCGTCGTTTTTAAGGTTCTGGTGTCTATCATACCTCGTGTTTCAATACTTTGGGGCGGGATGCCGTCGGCACATGCACACTTGCCGTTTCGCATCTGAGCAAATGCTATCTGCGTCTCGTCCAGAGTCGGGCTGTCGGCAAGGCAAGTCTACAGCTTCTGTTGTTGCATCCCGTGCAACAGAGTCCAGTCAATCTCTGAACGGACTTCAAAGGACAATCAGAGTGGTTTCGCCAGATCTGCATTATGTCGACAGTCTGTGCACAGGCAGCGCCTGTAGTAACATCGAGCAACGTCTTTAGCGGCTCCAACCTCGGTGTCCACACAGCGCCTTCAGTGAGTCAAAGAATTCCTTGTGTTGGCAGCGTTCGATGTAGCATTCCATCTGCTTCGCCTTCTCGGTCACCATGGATTTTCAATGCGACAGAGCTCTCACGCCAGCCTCCGTTGAATACTGCGAAACCCAGTCTTCATCCCCAGGACGCTGGGGTCCGCCACATGTGCAGCAAATGCAGTTTTCTCAAACACCAATGCGCCACTCGTCGTATTGTTCCCATCAAGCCAATAGAGTCGCTTACAGTTTGCGCGCCCGAAGGTTTCTTCGGCAACAGCTGGCACGTGATCGCGAATGTGGTGCCAGAGCTCGTCCACTGTGGCTATGCAGTCCACATCACACAGGCGTGTAGCCATTGCCTTCTCCACCTCGATGCGTTTCGCCACAGTACCGCGGGAATGTTAAATTTACGCCACCGATTCACGGCAGACACACTGTACGGACTTTTCTGCACGTAGATGTACAAATATAATCCCCACCAATTTGTGGTCAGTGCCACAGTCAGCTCCATGCAGTACATGTGCCACGTGCACTGCACGCGTGTCACGCTGACACGCGATGACATAGTCGAGCAGATCAGCGTGACCACTCCGTGGGTGCGTCCAAATTGCTATATAACTCGCACTCAGTGCAAACCGAGTGTTCGTGATCGTCAGGTCGTGAGTAGCACACAGTGAGAGCAGCCTGTCATCGTTCGCATTCCCTGAACCAATGCCATGCAGACCGATAACATCTGTCCACACTGATGCATCACGTCCAATGCGCGCGTTGAAATCACCCATCAGAAATAGTTGGTCGCTACCCGGCACAGACCGTATCACGGAGGACAACTAAGTGTAGAACTGATCACGTGTGTCATCAGGATAACAGGTGATCGGACCGTACGTCTTTATAAAAGTGGCAAACTTACTTCTTCCGAGTCGTAGGGGAGCAGTCATCAGTCGCGCCCTGATACCTGTTGGTTCACCCACGAGCTGGCCATTTAGGCGATCGGATATTGCAAATCCGACCTCATGTTCACGTGGTGGTGAGGTGGCGTTGCCCACCCAGTAAAACGTGTAGTCAGCACCTGCTTCATGCAACTTATCTTACTCAGGGAGCCGGGTTTCACTGAGCGCCGCAATCTCGATGTTGTACCGCGCTAATTTCATCGCGACCAGTGCAGTGCGTCGTTCAGGTCGCACACTCGAGTGCCGGTCCAGTAGTGTGCGATATATATATATATATATATATATATATATATATATATATATATATATATATATATATATATAAGTGAATGCTGTAAACCAGAGTGAATCGATCATGCAGCTGAGAACTATGTCTTGGCGATGCTTGACTCGCGGCTGGTGCTTCCGTGTCCTCGGAAGTTTAGAGCTCCGGGCTGAACAGCAGCAGGTATGTCAAGCAAAGCGGCTGGATTAGAGGTTTCCCATGACGGAGGAATACTGTGCACTGTGGTGACGGGGATTCAGATTGTAAAACTTACTATGCAGGTGTGTTCCATGACGCTGGGGGCTACGTAAAGAAAGCTAATAACGGAGAGCAGCACGCGCATTGCAGAAGCAACTAGAAAGGTAACGCAACATAAGAAGTAACCTACCTTCGCCTACCTGCCATGCCGTATGCAGCAAACCAGCTAGTTCTCTTGCAACCACGCGATGACCGACGATAAATGACATCAAAATTAGATGTGATGGTTACGAACGCAAGTGATCTAGAGAATGATTAGAATTCTCAGCCAAATAATGCAACTAAAAAGCTGAACTGAACGAGAGGAAAACTGAGCTTTCCCTAACTCTAATCAATGATTAATTTGATAAGAACAAGTCCTAGGATGCGGCAAAGTACAATCCAGCATCGCTTAATAAATTAGAGAGATGCATAAACCGTCATGTCACGTTATACCCCGGTTTTGTTGCACCTAGGTGGTTGAATCTGGAGATGGTCAGCCGATAACATGGCAGAAATGATGAAAAAACGACCAAGAGTGAGGGCTTCGCGATCAGCCATCTCGATGGCCAGAAGCGCCAACATATAAAGTGCAGTGTCGATGTGTACGAGCTATCGTGATCCCTCCCCTGCGTCTACCATAGGACGATAACAGTTTTCACCTATTCCTTTTAAGGTAAACTCTCTTATTTTCCTGTTTTTGTGTGAATATTATTGGTGGTAATATTATTGGTATTAGTATGCGACGTGGATAAAAAGCAAGTGGACCAACGTACCTTAACGCACGACACATAGTCAATCAACATCGTTAGACTCTTAAGCAGAGTTGATTGAATCGCGCCGGTCAATACGATGTGATATCGAAGGAAAATAATTGTCAAAAGTGTCAATCGGGCCTAACGAAAAAGAAAGAACTCCAGTTCAATAAGACGAGACAGGAAACTGTACTTACAGCTTAGCCCATGCAGTGCCTGCAGCCAGGTTGAATAAAGGTATTGCATAGATTATGAACCGGAGCTCCTTATGAGGTAGCCAAGAGTATAGGAAGACAAAGGCGAAGGCAGTGAACATCAAGCCAGTGACCATGGTTGGAATCACACACATCCTCGTAGAACGATTCCAAACAAACGACAAGAGAACATAGACGGCACACATCAGAGAGAATGCATATGTGCCTAAAAGAGCCCTGGGTAATGCGGAAGAGAAATACCAATGAAAAGGAGATGACTTAAGCAGCAGGTGTTAAGGATGAAAGTAGCTGAGTGAAGATTTCAGAGCGGTATGCCTAAGGAGGCAATTAAAGTCGAAAGACAGCATAAGTGTTGAGGGATAGGAATGCAGATTAATATATTCGTTAGGGTGTTGATTGGTGAAAATCGCGCGTACCGTGGGGTAAGTCCCAAGCGTGATGTTGTTCAAATGAATGCAACGGACGGAAATGGGTATGGTGGCTGTTCTTCGGACACAACGAGTGCGCAGAATCCCGGCTTACTCGAACAAGACATTTTGTACCGCCCACAAATAACATCGAGACCTATCAGCACTATAAAACAGAACGCGGATTATTCTGAATGATCTCAGGACAATGGGTGTTTCATTTCAATAAGAGTATGTGCCGCGTATGAATCTTGCAGATTACCGTTGATCGAAAGTGCAATCGTTCACTATTTGATTGCGAGTAAAAAGACCACGCCCATACCCGGGTGTTGTGCATACCGAAACTCCTGAAAGTCGCCTGCGTGGAGTGTAAGCCACTCTTGAGGCGCCTAATCCTAAGCAACAGAAACCTTAGTGTGAGTCAAAATTTATCAAGAAATATCCGAGCCGCAAAGCATCGAGATAACGATAGACCATAACTGACACTGTTGAAGTAGTCCCAACATAGAGCGCTAGTAGTGCATGTTTAGCTTAGCTATGGTCACTAATTACCAGGAAAACAGAGTTTAAGGGCTCTAACACCACTTTGTTTGGATGCAATCACCAGACTGGCACATAAATGGTAGAAACGCATCAAAACGCAAGTTAACAACGATACTATAACACACCCGTTCACCATGGATGACGTAACAAGGAAAGGAAAAGTGTGGCAGACATTTAAAAGCTTCAAAAAAGGATACACCCCATTGGATGCTTTTGTTCAAGATGGTGTTGTAATAAAATACGACGCCCTCAGGCCAGACAAAACGCCTCCAGAAGAAGGAATCAACTAGGATGCTTCCACCTGGAAGTGATAAATACATGTATAACATGCGTACGTACCCAAACAACAAACACCAGTGAAAAGAATGGACCGGAACAACGTGGGCCGAATACGCACTTGACCCGCTGCGATGGCACAAATCAGTAGCGGACCGTAGAATAAGATCAGCTCCATGCGAAAAATCAGAATCGCTACTCCAGCAAATCGGATGAAATTGACATCGCGTCTCTCAAGAAGTTCTCTCAAAGATAATAGGACTACATGAACATGCAGGAGGGAATGATCAAAGGAATTAGCATGACATTTACACAACGATTTGTATACGTGATACGTTAGACTACTGAAAACAAGCCAGATTCTTTCATTCCCAAAGCATAGTTAACAAAATATATCGACACCCTTAGTATGAATAAAGAAACCGCGCAGACAATAATGATCGAATCCCAAAGGCACTCACCAAAAATCAAGGCCAAAGTGTTAGGTAGGCTCCTTGATGCGTAGAAAAAGAAATGGAATTGTGTGAGGCTAATCCACATAAAACGCCGGTACGCTGCCCGACCAACACATTTGCGTGCAGTTGAGGCAAAACCCATGAAGCTGATAGTAACCACAGACCCGAGTAGAAAACGAACTGAAGAGTAGTACGGTCAGTCGATCGAATACCTGTATATTGCATAGAAAACTTCGACATTTGTAAAAGTGGGAAAACACATATCGGGATGGAGGTTAGTAGGAGAGCACCAACGAATGTGCGTGGCACAACTCCAGGAAACTGTAAGTGATCGTACTTTATACATACCAATGGGACTAGTACTCGAGCTTACGCGACTGACATTCGTTCGAAAGTAGATGATATCATGCGATGCTTGCATGTTAAAACTTTCCTCAACTTTGGAATACGGGCATATCCATAGAAACGACCAACAAAGGAGAAGAGCAAATGCGGAGTCAGCAGCGCTGAGTACATTCCACATCAGGAATAGTTAGGTTTGCACTAAAAAGAAACGTCAAGATTTTAGGAAGCATTAAAGGTAGGCATTCAGTGTTCGCGCTGACAAAAGCTAAGCCCAGTACACCGATTTACCACAATTAATTCAAGGTGTCCAAAAGTGGTCTAGAGTGAAGGCCATCAGGTTGGGTGAAAGTGCCTGCAAAGCCAACCATTGCGAAAAGAATGCGTTGGAAATGTTTCGAACCCGTAAGCTGAAATCGAATGAAACAACTTTTATTCACTTTGTAAGAACCCATAGCAAGATCAGAAGTCAGTGTAAGCGAACATATGTTTTCGAGAATTCTTCATCAGGCTTCTACAGTTATATACAAATGAAAACAAAATGGGTAGACAGACATTACCAATCGTTAGTCTAGGAACGAGTTAAATACTAACAGCGGCTGTCCGTTAGGTTACCACACTTGACCTCGCGAGTCAGAGGTCGTCAAGCGTTTGGGCCAGGACAGTCCCAACCCTCTAGTTAGTTTCTTATGGATACACAGCTCCGGGTCATACAGTCGAAGCGCAATTGCCTCAGCAGCTTTTAGCATTCCTTTACGCACGTATTTCGATGGGGTTCGCCGGGGCCTGATAACTAATTTTGGAAGAGTCAACTGATTTAGTAGCATGCCTTGTGTCAGCGAGGTGCGCGGCCATTGAGGAGCTGACTGGTTTTCTGCTTCCAGTCCCAAGCCAGGCCGGATGGTGTTCCTTCACTCGTTCGGATAGACGCCTTGTCGTACAACCAATGTATTCTGCTCCACAGGAGCAGGAAAAGGAATAAATACACATTGAATTGGTGTGGACAGGCCTCTTATCCTTTGAGTTCTGTTTCACCATCGGAGTGCTAGTGAACTGGATTTGCATCCTTGCTGCGGGGTAGGTACGTCTGGGTGCACGCGAAAGACGACGAAATAGAAGTTCCGTCGCAAATTCGCCCTTGTATGGCAGCTTTAGGAAGATCGGCTTAAATTTTACTGTCAATACTACGGACTGTGCTCTTCTGTTGCATGTTGGCTCTAATGAAACTTTCTGGGTAGCCATTCTCTCTCAGCACCAAGCGAATGCACTCCAATTCCTCAGGAAACATGTCTTCCGAGCAAATTTTTTCAGCTCGGCTCACTAGGGTATGGATCAGATTCTTTGTATACCTTAAAAACACAAAGCTGTAATTTGTGTACTGTCCAGTCCACGTGCATTTCCTATACACGCGACGTTGCAGCGCACCTCCATCAAGTCTTCTCAGAGTGACGTCTAGGAAATGGAGGTAGTTGTTTTCCTCCACTTCGTAGGTCAACTTTATTGCAGGGTGGCACTGGTTGAAGGTGTCCGTTAGTTCATCAATACTTCGCGAGGCTTGAAGTAAAACAAAGATGTGATCCACATACCGGCAATATAGACTGAGGTCTGCGATTGTTGATTTTAACTGGCCCTGTTTCAACATGTCCATGACAACATCGGCAGGGAAAGGTCCAAGTAGGGAACCCATCGTGACCCCATCGCACTGCCGGTATATGTCGCCATTGAAGAGAAACTGAACATTAAATGTGCATCTGAGTAATAATTCCTTTAGGATGACAGTGGGCATGCCCACATTTATGTGATGTGCATCAACATACTCACAAATGTAATTTATGGTCTCAAGCAGTGGCATGTTGTTGATCAGTGAAGTAACTTCCAGCGAACACATGGTTAGATTGGTGCAGTTTATATCCCGTACGATATCGACGAATTCAAGGCTATCTCTCAGACTGTGCACAGCAATCCGCTTTCGAATAGGTGCTAGAATTGCAACCAGCCACCAAGCCATCGAGTGGTATGGTGAGCTTTTGATGACTTTCACTTAGTCACCAGACCAACATCCTCAATAAGAACGATCAGCTGCGAAGATAACCAGGTGCGTATAAAACTTGAATAACTCCTCCAACATCCTTTCAGTTAATGAGCTGTCTCTTTGTCGTACTTTCTCAGTGTTGTCAGCGTTAATTAACATGGGGATGCCAGCAATGGGAGATGGGTCCACAGAACTTCGGTGCTCAGAATACGGTTGGAAAACAGCTAAGTAGCTGACCAGTCCAGGAAAACATACAAATTTACTAAAATAAGCACACAAGGAATATCCGTGGATAAGTTGCAGGCAAATTATTAAAAGCGCCCTTTATTGTCAAAATCGCCTTGCCCAGAAGATAGATAACTAACTGTTCCTCCAGATAATATTTTGTATCCACATCGGAGCACTGCAGATACGGTAGAACTTTTAAAAGCTTGGCCAAAAATTGAACACTGCCGATTCCGGCTCAGAATATATATATATATATATATATATATATATATATATATATATATATATATATATATGGGGTTGGCGGCATCCGGTTTCGGATTTGCCTGTCACTGTGATGTCCATGGGGACAGCCACAGGACGCCTGCGCCTACAGAGGGACCATGGGTGGCTTGCGCTGCACCATCCACAGCTTCAACCACACACCCCATATCCAGTGTAAAGCCGAAGGAATAAAACCGGGAGGCATGTAGATGGGAGCCACGTTTCATCAACGGAGCCGGCCCACACTCCTTCATAGGCAAACACAAGGACTTTTGTTCGTCGCAATCAGCCGACAATTCAGATATGTCGACCAGCTATCCGGAAAAGCACCAGACGGCCGTTTCGCCAGATTGGGGCTCATCAGTGGTGCGCATCCTTCGATCCTCTGCGGAGGATCGAACCAATGACTGCTAGTGGCTCTTGCCAACTAGCCCGCAGTTTATGCAACTGCGCCATGGAGGACGGTATCCGACCATCACGAATTGTTAGCTAAATGCGCTATAGCCCGACTTATCCTCCACTGCCATGCAGGCACCTGCCATGCAGATGACAGCGATTGGCCTTCCGGCGTCAGGACTTCCCGGTTACGGCAGCTATGAATCGACAGCATTTTGTGGAATCCGTACGGGCGAATTGGTATTACTTATTGGTAGAAGGATTTTGGCGAGTATTTTTGTTCGTCGCAATCAGCCGACAATTCAGATATGTCGACCAGCTATCCGGAAAAGCACAAGCACAAGCACGCTGTATTTGGGAAACAAAGTGCACACAATGCGGTGGCTGGACCGTAGTCCGCTCCACCCTGAGTGCATGGAACTGCTCATTGATCCTAACACGGCCACAAGAACCGTGCACCCTGTCCTTTCCACCAACGACCAACTGTCTCCTAGAGTCAGTATGGACGACATAGTGGGTAATATACAGGTAGGCACCTTGTCAACATGTACCTCAAGCGCAGTCACACCGGGGATATCAAGCAACAGCCAATCACTCGAGAGAAAGATAACAAAGAAAATAAATCGAGTAATACATAAGGAAACGGTGACATAAATCTTAAATTAATGAGCATATGAAATAAGTTGTTTACAAAAGAATCCGAGATAAGTTCATGAGGTCAGAAAGTATATTTTACGGAAACGCCACAACCACGAAAATGTTATCGAAATTAACTACAGTTGGCTTAAGCGATGCGTGGAAGTTTATAGAAGAGCGTACAGGTAGACATTTATATGAGAAAAAAGCATTAGGACAAAATTGAAAACCCAACACCTGAAGTAAAGAGACTTAGCATGCAAGCACGCGGTTAGTAGATCGAATGCAGCGTGCCTACAAAAGCTGCGCCGGTTCTGTCTACGTTCTCTGCAGGACCCGTCGTCGCTTCGGTAGTGGTCCCGAGTGGCCTCGCTCATGGCTCACTAAGCCTGCCTGACTCAGGCACTCGCGACCGCATGTGCTACAGCACCATGCGCTCGATGTCGATGGAGTACAACCCATCGGTGCTTGCCATTTCTTCTATGTATGTATGAGGTCATTCTCCCGCACTTCGGCAACTGCCTTCGTGATTAGATCGCACCATGCACTCCGATCAACCGCTTTCGATTCCCATGACCTGCAATCAAGCTTAGAACGTGAGAGGCTCACTTTAATCATGTCCTGGTAGCGTAACTTTGGTTTCCCCACATGTCGCTTCCCAATACTCAGCTGACCATATAAGAGTTGTTTCGGTATCCGCGTCGAATCCATACGGCTCACATGATCGAGCCACCTCAGGTGTCTCAGCAAAAGTATGCAGTCCACTGCATACATCCCACTTCGGCGCAACACTTCCGTGTCTGCAACTCTGTCGCCCCAACCGATGCGCAAAATCCGTCGCAAACACTGTTGATGGAACCGCTCGAGATATCGCACATCCCGACGGTACATCGTCCACGTTTCACTGCCGTATAGAAGAACGGACAGCACCATGGATTTGTACACCATCAGCTTCGTGCCAATGGTAAGCTGATGATTGTTCCACACTCGGTACTCTAGCTTCCCGAATGCCGCCGCTGCCTTCGACACGCGAATACGAAGCTCACTGTGTAGCTGCTGATCAGTCGACATCACACTCCCAAGGTAGCTGAAGCGGGAGGTGGTTTCCAATACTTCAGCACCAATGCTGATTCGCGGCAATATTGAAGATTGCACCTCCGGTGAAGGCTGAAAGAGACAGACAGTTTTGCGTGTGTTGATGGTGAGCCCGAATTTTGCAGCTGTCGAAGCCAGAGCACTAGTCATGTGCTGCAACTCATCCGCGCTGTGTGCAAACAACGCACAGTCGTCAGCAAACAGCAACATACGGATAGTTGTCTCACAGACTAGAGTTCTCGCACCGAAACGACGGATGTTCAGCAACCCACCATCAATACGGTGCTCCACACGAACACCGTAAGCACAAGCCGCATCAAATGCACAGGACATCATTGCATGAAGATATATATTAAACATGGCAGGAGCTAAGATACAGCCTTGCTTCACACCAGAGACAACTGCAAAGTCATCCGAGGTCTCTCCACTCAGCTGCACCTTCGCTCGCATGCCGCTGTGCAGACATTCAATTAAACTTACAAACTTACGCGGGCAACCAAACTTACCCAACACCAGCCACAATGCCGCGCGGTTCACCGTATCAAATGCCTTGGTGAAATCAACAAAAACCGAGTACAACGGCTGGTGTCGTTCTCTGCACTTCTCCTGCAACTGACGAGCCGCAAACACCATATCTATAGTGCTGCGACCTGAAAGGAATCCACACTGCTCTTCCGCCACGTTCGGTTCAACAACCTGACTGACGAGGCGGTTGAGCAGGATTCAGACAATCACCTTGCCCACACAACTCAGCAAGTTGATGCCACGATAATTCGTGCAACATTGCTTGCTACCTTTGCCCTTGTACAGTGGTAGCACAAGGGCATCCTTCAGCTCAGGAGGCACCTCCTCCT